CACTCTTTTCTCAAGTCCATTGTTTATATTTATGACCATTACTTTAAATTCTCTATCAGGCACATTATGTCCATTTCATTTAGCTCTCTTGCTGTGATTTTTCCTGTTATTTCATTTGGGACCTATTCCTCTGTCTCCTCATTTTGTCTAACTCTCTGTGTCTGTTTCTGTGTGTTAGTGAAGTCACCTATGTCTCCTGCTCTTGAAAGTAGTGGCCATATGAAGAAGAGGCCCTATAGTGCCTGGCAGTGCAGTGCCCCCTAGTCACTGGAACCTGGTGTTTCAGGGGTGTCTCCTCTGTGTGCTGTGTCTGTGCCCTACTGTTATGACTAAGCTGAATTAGTCTTCAGTCCAATTGGCCACAATAGTTCTCTTTGCCTGTTGTAGGCAGTTTGGTCCCTGTGGAGTTGGTGGGCCACCTGGCCTGCCTTAGGCTTGAGTTGGGTCAGAGCAGAGTTTGTCAGAGCTGTGGTCACACCAATCTGCAGGGCACTTTCCTGTGTTGTGCCCTGAGAAGCTTTTGTTGGTTGGCAGGGACTGCAATCAGACCAAATGTCTGGGACCCAAAGTTTTGTGTGTGGTTTTCTTCCTCTCCCTGGGTAGGAGTCACTTTGGACTGGTGCCAGCCCCTCTAGGTGTTGCTTGCACAATGCCATGCTTTAGATGGACTCTTGCTGATGGTGGGTTGGAAGAGTCCAGCTTACAAGACAGTGTGGGGCCAGCTGTGTGGTTTTAGCAAGGTGTGTCCTGGTCTGCTGTGGGAGGGATCTGTAGTTGTTTTGGAGAACTGGTGAGGCCCAGCTGGTGGGGGCAGGCTGGGGAAGAGCACAGGGGCTGGGTGTGCTGAGGTGAGTGAGGGAAATAGCACCTGTCAGCAATTCTGTTCTTAAAGTGTCCTAAAGATCCCTGCCCCTCTAGCACATACTCTGAGATTAGTAAACAAATCTTTTTCCCATATACCATAGGTGTTTTTCAAACTTCTGTTTCTATGCTGTATATCAGTAAGGCTGTTTATTACGCTGTCTCTTTAAGGACAGGGATTCAGTTTCCTATCGCCCTCCAGCTCTCCCAGAGGGGAGTCCACTATTTTTAAGCTTCTAATTGTTAAGCCCCACTGACTGTAAGAACTCACAAAGTTAAAACCCTCTGGTTTCAAAGCCAAACGTGGGGATTCGTCTTCCTTTGTGGGTCCTCGATGCCTGGGGTGGCTGATGTGAGGTCTGCTCTTCTCCATTTCTCATGCCTGTGGTGTTCCTCCCTCCCATGGACAGTCTTGCCAGTCAGTTTGATTTCTGACTATACATCAGCCCTTCCTACCTTTTTCGATGTGGCCTACTTCTCTACATTTAGGTATAGAGTCTGTTCTGCCAGTCTTTGGGTTGTTTTCTGGCTTATTTACACTGATGTGGGTGTTATCTAGGTATATCCATGGGATGAGGTAAGCTTAGGATCCTCCTACTCCACCATCTTACTCAGAAGTCAGACTCTAAAATTTTTAAAATATATTTTCAGAAATTATATTAAATAACTAATTTAAAAAACTATTAATAAAATTCCTGGCAAAGTTCTTTATCTGAAATTTTACTCATCATTATACTTTGGATTTTACAGTAAAATCAAAAGTACTGTTCTGAGTCCTTCAGTAATGTATTTGTTTATGAGAAATATTTAATTGAAAAACAATAGTTCTTATCAGGGAAATGTTTTATTTATTTTATTACAATTCACAGTTACAGATCATAATGTTCTATCCTAATGAAGATGGTAGAGTAACAAATGCATAAGAATACTTGTTCTGATATTCAATTTACTTAAAATCAGTTATTATTCACCTACGTGTTCAGGACAACATGCTGAGCTCTAGAGATGCAAAGATTAAAATGCTGCTTCTTCACCCTCAGAAGCCCATAGTTTAAAGAGGAAGACAAAAACATGAGAAAACACATATGCTATGTACAGAGAAGTGATGCATATTTCTTATCCATTTTTAGCCCACTGTCTTTCCTCCAGGCTTGGGATGTTCACTTACGTTTACTTTTTTCCATTGTCACTTTAATTAGTATTTATATATTACATATATATGTCAGCCTCTGTAAGTCAGTCAGTATGTGACATAAGTAAAAGCTTATACACAAATACTCAGGGATTATGTATCAAGTGAAGAAACTCCCTTTACTTTTATTTTTTTATCCAGTAAGAAATTTGACATTTTCCACTTGAATATTTGGTACATAAATTACACACATGATTATTTGAAGACTAAGCACTGTTTCAAATGCTTTATGTAATATAACTCATTTAAGGACAGCCTTATGAACAGGTACTATTATCACCCAGTTTTACAGCTGAAGACACCAGCACACAGAGGGATTAAGTAATTTGCACATACTCATGCAGTTGGTAACAAGCAGAGAATCCTTGATTTGAACCTGTCTGCCCTTCCCTAATATCTGTCATCTTAACTACCATACATACTGCCTTTGTGCTGTGCTGGTCTTAACCACTGACCATGCTGATCCTTGTTCCATGTTGTGATTAGAAACTGAAACATAAAACATATCTATACTGAAATTCATATAGCTTTCTATGTTCTTCGGAGTACTACAACTTTCTGTATAAGTTCATCAAAGCTGGATTTTTCTTATTTTATGAATTTGTTTGCTGAATTGAACTTGTGTTTAATCTGTACATGGTATACTTCAAAGGCCATCCCCCACCCCACCCCCCAAACTTCCTACCCAGAGGGAGGCAATGCATCATAGCACAGTCCCTAAGCAAGGGAGTTGCACAGGCAACCAATCCAGTAGAGCTGGCTGCTACCTAGAAGGGAGGGCATTCTCTATCTATAATCCCTTAATAAGCTAGAGCACAAACCAGGCAGAGAGATGATTGAATGGAAAAACTGCTTAAATACCATAAAAAATTTATATTTTTCTCTTATGAAAAATACACTTCGAATGTACCAAAGAATTAACTATAAAAAGGAATACCACAAATTTAGTGGCACAATTTCTGTCCATCTAAGGACCTCTAAAACTAAAGAAGCAGGTTATTTGCTCCTAAAACACAATGGTGGTACAAGCATGGAGTAACATTTATATGGCATATCTGTTAAAAAAGGGAGAACATGGAAGAAAAAAGGTTCACCAATCCCAAGAAATTCTTAAATCCAGTCAGGCAAATTCCATTGGGTCTAAAGGTCTGGAAACAATACTCTGTGGCTTAGGTTGTCTTGAACAGGCTGTTAGTAAAAATATGGATATTAACAACTCTGCTTGTGAGGACTTAAGAAAATGAGCATGGTAAAGAAAATATATCACCGGGGCGCCTGGGTGGCTCAGTCATTAAGCGGCTGCCTTCGGCTCAGGTCATGATTCCAGGGTCCTGGGATCGAGCCCTGCATCGGGCTCCCTGCTGGGCAGGAAGCCTGCTTCTCCCTCTTCCATTCTCCCTGCTTGTATTCCCTCTCTCGCTGTGTCTCTCTCTGTCAAATAAATAAATAAAATCTTAAAAAAAAAAGTTTAAAAAAAATATGTCACCTTAGATAATACCTGCATGGTCATAAGCAGACTGTTGGTGGAAACACACATGTGAAAGGGGGTTAAAGTGGATAAAAGGTAGGTTAATGACAGGTAAGGGTGTGGGGTTTAGTTATGAGTTTGAGAGGCTGGTAGAATGTGAGGATGCCCATCAGAAAATAGTCTAACAAAATAGTCTTCAACATCTACTGTACATAGTATTTTAGTAAATGAGGGCAAAGGAATATAAGATCAAATTCTATACATAAACTTCAGAAGTTGCCCTTCCTGGTTGCAGGAAATAACACTTGTATATTCAGATACCACATAGCTCAACTCAGTTGAAAACTCAACAGTTATTTTCTCAAAGGCCTATAATGTTAAAAGACTTTTAGCTTGAACCACATAAATAACTGGAAAAACACAATAGGTCTAAACCAAGAGATTTATTTTTATTTGCCAAACTATCTATTATATTTTCAAATTTTCTAGGGACTAATCTCACCCTAGAGTAAAAGCTAGCATTTACAGCTGTTATCATTACATAATTGAAACATAGTAGAATCCAAGGGTTTGCCATTCTCTTTTTTAACAGTGGTACTAACTTATAAATTCAGTAAGAGTGCCAGGCTTAAATGCTGTGTCCAGCAGGAAATCTGGAATAATTGGTCCTGTTCTGTACAGACTTTATGGGAGTCTTTTAATGATTGTTGAACATCTCTGACTAAGCACTAGAAAGGAGAGTTGTCATTCTTCTGCCAACTGCTGCATTGTTCAAGGATTTGCTTCTTTATGTCAGAGATTCTATCAGAGAGGGGGTCAAGTTGGGGTCCTGAGTCACCTCTGTAAGAAACATGGGTTCAGCTAGGGCATGAATTTTATTTATGAAAATTTTTTTTTAAAGATTTATTCATTTGAGAGAGAGAGAGAGAGAGAGCATGAGCTGGGGGAGGGGCAGAGGGAGAAGCAGACTTCCTGCTGAGCTAGGAGCCCAACACAGGCTGGATCCCAGGACTCCAAGATCATGACCTGAGCTGAAATCAAAAACTAATGATGTACTATATATTGGCTATTTAAAAATAATAAAAAATATTTGACAAGAGTCGGATGCTTAACCAACTGAGCCACACAGGCACCCCTATTTATGAAGATATTAAAAAGTCAACAATGTTATGATTTCACCAACTTTAAAAGAAAAAAATTCAACCTTTAAACACAAAGAAATAGTGTCTATTTGCTATTGTAGTTCTTATTTCTAAGAAGGCTAAGTGTATTTTAAAAGCACAAATAATTCTGCAGTCTAAAATTCCAACTCCAAAAGTAAAGATGGATTGACAAAATGTACTCTTATGCAAAGAATTGCCCATTTATCACCATTTGGGGAAAATGGGTGTGTGTGTATGTTGTCTTTATTGGTATACCCAAAATACACAGGCTTGACTCATATACAAATGGCTAAAATGGAAAAGGTCAAGCTTTGAAAATTATTCCTAGAAAATGGATTTATCCAGGCAAATTTGTATGTGAGTATCTATATATTTTATATACCATAAGATTGAATATGAACATAAGACAGGTTTTTTTTCATTTCTGTTCATAGAGGTCTTTCAGTACATGTTTTCTTTAGAACATTCTCAGAAACAATTGAAGTACAAAGCTAAAGCAAGAGTATTTCTATATATAACACACAGTATAGTTAAAATCATCATACCAGCTCTTTTAAAATCTCATTGCTGTGGATAGCTTCCCCTAATTCTTCCATCATCAATTCTTGTTTGGGTTTTTCAGCACTTTTCCTACAAGGCAAATTTTCCTCATGTGAATTTTGAACGGTAGGTCCCTGGGCTAACTGATGAGATGTATTTATAATCACATTGTCTTTAGCTCTTAGGGTGTAGGTTTCCTTGGGTTTTGCTCTTTTTTGGCAGAGCTGGAGGTGAAAAGCATCTTGGAAAGCACGGTGAAAATTCTCATTGAAGAAACCATAAATGATGGGATTGACGCTGCTGTTGCAAAAGGCCAGCCAGTGTGCAAAAGGGTAGATGTAGATGTTGATGACCCGTAGTTCATTTGGAGACAGGTCAGCGTAGTCTGAGAGCATCATCAGTGTCCACAGAGGCAGCCAGGAGAGAATAAAAAGCAGGGCCACGATCAGGAGCATTTTAATGACCTTCTGCTTCTTCTTAGACACCATGTGCCACTGTTCCTGGTTCTGTTTGCCTGTGTGGGGCACTGTCATCTTGAAGAGTGAGATTCCAATCCTTCCATACATGATGACAATGAGGGACAGGGGAACCAGGTAGATGTTGGCAAATAGCACAGTGGTGTAGATCTTCCTCATTTCCTGATTTGGCCAGTCTTCCCGGCACCAGTAGACTGGACTGGTTTTATCCTGGGAGTTGAGTTTCACTTGGTAATATTTTTCTTCTTGTACATGTAACATTATTGCAGATGGGGACATAATGACAATGGCCAGGACCCAAATGATCACAATAATGACAAATGCTGTCTTGATAGTGAGCTTTGGTTTAAAAGGGTAGACAATGCACCGGAACCTGCAGTTAAAGGTAAGTGTCAGTGGAGCACTGCCTTATACCTTCTGACCAAGTTGTGAATTAAATTTAATTCTCCCACTCATGTTCCCCTCAAAAACATAAAGTTACCATTAGCAATAGAGAAGCATGCATTGATATTTTTTGTGACTGATACAAATTTCAAGTCAAAATATGAATAAGTTGAGTATCAGACACTATATTAGTCACTATTAATAATAGTTGACCATGGTAACTAGCAGATATTGAACATGAATATTTAGTGTTCTGTTCCAGACTCTTTTTAAACTTCCCCACTTAAAAGATGGAAAAATAGGCTTAGAAAAAGTAAAAAAATCTTGCCCACAACTACACATAATTTTAACACAGGTAGTTTGGCTCCAGAGTCCATATTGTTAAACTCTCCTTCATGACCTATTGTGCTCCCTTCCCATGTCATCTTTGTGCTTGGCCAATTGAACATTAGCAAGCATGACATAAATAGAAGCCTGAGTGATGACACAGAGGCACCCAACCAAACCATAGAATCATGACAAATGTTTAAGCATTTTTGTTTTAGGCCAGTAAGTGTTTTGGTGGCTTGATTCACAGCTATAACAGTCTGAGAGTTTCCATTACGAGTTCTGATTACATGCTTTCCAGAAGTTCTATGTCCTCTGATGAGCATGGAAATTCAATGTCAGTACATAGCATAACCCTGATTTCATTTAACTGCAATTTAGCTATTGCGAGTCTTGGCATTATTATTCATACTCGCTATGATAATTATAATTGTACCATATACATCTATAGAATACTATATTTTTCAAAGTACTATCACCTATTTAATCTTTGGTTTTTGTAATGACTCTGTAAAGTGGAAATATGAAAATTATTACTTTCCAGATCTGCAGGTAAGAAAACAAAGCTTTTAGTGGCTCAGCAGCAACTCCATATTAATTTATCTGACAACTCTTCATATACTAATTAACTTGAATATTTATTGCTCTATTGTCCTTTATTTCATGTGTAAAGTCTGCTGTCTTAACCTCCAAATTTTCTTTTAGTCTTCTAATTAATAAGTCTCCCCATCTACTCATCCTTAAATTATGGGTAAATTCATAGGCACAATTCTAGGTATCTTGTTCTTTTTGTAAACCAACTATTGGGGCTTCACATATTTTTTCATTTATTCAACAAATATATAGATATATTCAAAGAGACAAAGATGAACATGAAGAAAATGCTCTCTGCCAGGAAATAGTCAATGAAAATATTGTGTAATTATGCTAAAATCATGCTAGAGTTTAGACTTGGCCACTGCATTAGTCAGGGTTCTCTAGGGAAACAGAGCCAACAGTATGTATAAATATATAGAAAGATATTTATTTTAAGGGATTGGCTCATGCGGTTACGGAAGCTGAGAAGTCCCAAGATCTGCAGTTGGCAAAATGGAGACACAGGAGAGCCAATGGTATAGTTCCAGTTCATATCCGAAGGCTTGAGAACAGGACAGCCATGGATATAAGTTACACTCTAAAAGCCATCAGGCTCAAACCCCAGAAGAGCTAACGTAGTTCGAGTTGGAAGACAGAAAAAGACTGATGCCTCAGCTCAAAAAGTCAGGGCGGAGGAATACTCTCTTACTTGCAGGAAGGTCAGCCTTTTTGTTTGTATTTGGGCCTTCAACTGATTGAATAAGGGCCACCCAGATTAGGGAGGGCAATCTTTTACTCAGCCTATTGATTCAAATGTTAGTCTCACCAGACACACCCAGAATAATGTTTGATCAAATATCTGGGCTCCCCATGACACAGTCAAGTTCACATATAAAATTAATCACAACAACCAGTTAGGGGGAAAAAAAAATCTCAGTCTTCTATCTCAAGCAATGGGGGATGGTGCCTTGTTCAGGACCAGTGAGCACCCAGAACTGATGGTATTTGAAGAGTGACTAGAAAGAAGTTGGAGAGAAAAGGAAGGTTCAAGGATAAATCTCAAGATTTTCACTTAGATTGGATATGTGATCCTGCCAGTCCCTGACTGGGGAAAATGAGAAAAAGAGCTTTTCATTTAGTTTTTTTGTGGAGGACTGGTAGTGAAGAAAGTTCAATTCTGGGTCTGTTTATTTTGAGGTGGTTGTTGTTGGACGTTCAGGTGAAGTTATTCAGAAGCACAAATATGAAATTTAGGAGAAAGACTTCATCTGGAGAAATAGGTTTGGGAGATTTTTTTGTAGAAGAGACCCTGAGAAAGGCATTTGGGTGCCAGTAGTTCAGAGAGAGAGATGAAGGTGCAGTGGTTTTAAAACAGGTCTAAATTCTTGAACATGCTTTCCAAAGTCCATTGAATGCACTTTGTGACTCACTTCTAATGAATAGGATGCAGAAGGGACACTGCATGACTTTCACTGGCACACTCTCTTAGGACACACATGCCTTGGACTGATATGAGAAGTTCAGCTACCTTGAAGCTGCCATGCAGTGGAGCCCATGTAGGGCTTGGGAAGCCCCAGTTCTATCTTCTAGCTGTTCAAGGCTTCCCAGTCTGGGCACCAACATAAGGGGAAGGCTGCATTCCTGGCCTTAGAACTCCCTCTCTGATGCCAAGTGGAGCAGAGACAGGGTATATGTTTCCAATCAGTGAAGCTTCCCTCATCATAGATTCATGAGCATCATGAGCCACTAAGTGGTTTGTCTTGGGAGGTGACTTGTTATATTGCAATAGATAACTGAAATATAGAGAAATGATACATGGATGTGAAGGCAGAGAGCAAAGGGTATGTCACGGCAGGGGACCATAGTTTCATCACTTTTTAAAAGACCTTAAATGTGACAGATACAGATGAAATTTTTTTGGTAGCGCTTTTCAATCCTAATCCCATTCCATTTTCCTCAGAAATCCTAAAGTTGCTATATATCCTTCCTGTCGATATTTTTATGCTTTGACAGTATTAGTCTGCATTTATAACATTTTAAATTCTATATTATGGCACCATATTATATGTATCAATTTATAGCTTTGAGATTGTATGCTTTTGAAATTTATGCATTTTGATATACATTGACCTAGTTAATTGATTTTAGCCAGCATACAGTTATCCATTGAATAAATATAGCACAATATATTTATTGTTTTAACCTTTTTAAAATGAAATCTCTGTTTAGGAGTCATCCTAGAAACAGTGAAAGAGAAATTTAGGGCTATTTAATGCTAAATGCAATGTGAAAGTAAACCTGATAAGCTCAAGATTCAAGTAGAAAATGCAAAGGATATTAGTTTTTTTATTCAGGGTAGAGATAACAAATAATTGTAATAGTATTACGAACATTCATAACAAAATAATTTAGTAGTAGCATTATTTACTAGTATAAATTAGTATGCAAAAAATTAGTAGTAACAGGGTGTAGTAAATTTGGAAATAATTAGCTCCCAAATTTTAATGTAAAAAGCTATCTTTGGCATTTGTTGGTTAGCATATATTGTAAATTCTGTTCTCTTTATATGGAAACCAAAAAGCTAGATCTATAAGATAGGTTCTTAGATTAATATTGAAAATAGAGTCTACCAAGTTGTTTTTTGATGTCAACAATTCTATAGCATTTTACATATTTTGGGGTCATGGTTCAGTTTCCCTCTCAAATCTCTCTTAATTGCCATTGCCTTACATCCTCTCCCATCTAGGTTGTTACAGAAGTTTAACTGTTCTTCCTTTCTCCAATCTTACCCAACTCCAAACCCTTTCTGTTTTTCTAAATTGAAAATCTAGTCATTATTTCCCCGTATAAAAGACTTCAGTAGCTCCCTGCTGTCTTCAGGACGAATGGAAGACAGGCCCATAGAAAACCTACGTGTGGTCACACCTAATGTGCCATTCCACCCTCCCATGTTCTAGCTGGCCTGCCTCTCTGCACTTCTCTTGATAAATATCCTCCTATTTCAAGTGCCCTATATATATATATATCCCTGTCTTAAGAAATGCTCTTTCCTCTGTTTCTTCTCAAGGTTAATTTCTAAATCTTGAGGGATCAGGAGGTGAACCCAACACTCTCTGTCCTGAGAGGTAACTTGATCACTTTCTCCTTTGTACAGTTGTTATGTTAGAGAGTATTATTTGTAAGTATTTGTTAATGTGTCTGTCTACCTCTACCAGAGTGTGCGCTTCTTTAGGCAGCACTTTGTCTAATTTGTTTTATTTTTTAAGATTTTATTTATTCATTTGAGAAACAGAGCACAAGCAGGAGAAGAGGCAGACTCCCTGCTGAACAGAGAGCCCGATGTGGGGCTCAGTCCTGGGACCTGGAGATTGTGACCTGAGCTGAAGGCAGACACCTAACATCTGAGTCACCCAGGTGCCCCTGTCTGATATGTTTTAGATGATATACACCCAGTACAGGCACACCTCAACACTATGTGTAAATCAATGTATTAGTACATTTTCCCTTAAAATCTGGATAAAATTTCAGGTTTATTTCACCACATTTCCACCATTAGAAAATTGAAGGTTCTAGTGAAAAACAGTATAACTATGATGGTATGGACTTTATGTTTGTGTCCCTCCCAAATTCATACCTCGAATAAGGGTTAGGGTTTCAAATGGTAGATGGAGGTAATTCGGTTCAGATGAGATCAAGAGGGTGGTGTCCCCAGGATGGGATTAGTGTAAGAAGAGGAGACTAGAGCTCCTGGTTCCACAGAGAAGATGGCCTTTTGCAAACCAGGAAAAGGTCTCTCACCAGACACAGAAGCTCCTGGCATCCTGACCTGGGACAGCCCAGCCTCCAGAACTGTGAGAAACAAATTTCTGTTGTTTCAGACACATGCTCTCTGGCATCTTGTGACAGCAGTGCAAACTAAGACACATGTCATCCCTAATTATTTAATTTAAAAAATGGAAATTTTAATGGTTTTAGTTTATTACTGAACCTTTAGCAGATATATGCCATGCTCTTACAAGAGTAGATATTATAAATATAATTTTGGGCAGATATAACCAAATTTAATAGATTATACATTTTTCACTAGATTCAGATTTTGGTACTGACTTACCTATCCACAGCTATCGCAACCAAAGTAAAGACTGAAGCCGCGACTGATATTCCTTGGATGAATCCACTGATCTTGCACATTGTGCTTCCAAAGGGCCATCCTGAAAGGGATATGAAACAGTCTTTCAATAGATTATATATATATATTTTTAAATTTCACCAAAAATATGAACAGAAAAGCATGAAATTAAAACTGATGCAACTATTTCCTAAATGATGTCCAGGGAACAGTCATTGTTTTCCATTATTTTCATTAATATCTCCAGAGCTCTATTTTTAGTATACTACTAATAATGTCAGAACTTAATTATAACTTTTTAATATACTACTACTAATGTCAGTTATAACTTCTAGGCACTGTGGTAAGTGCTTTGTATCTACTAATTTATCTACTTCCCCAAGGCTTTTGAAGGCTTTATTCTCCTCCTCATGATATAGAATAAGTAATAAATACACAAATATCACATACCTTGCCACAGCTAGTTAGCATATTTAGGATTTCAATCCCAGCTGTATGGTTCCAGAGCCTAAACCATTAACCCTTATGCAGTAAAGCCCTTTAAATGAATAAGACAGGAAGAATATTGGTTTTATAATTTGGAAATATACCCCATAAATTATGAGGAACAGGAGGTACATGTAGAATAAATAAGATTAGTATTTATTCATATATAATGTAATGAGACAATTTACCTCAGAGGTACATTGTTATAGAGTGAATGTTTGTGCCCCCTCCGCATTCAGATGCATATATTGAAGCCTTAAGCCCTAGTGTATTTGGAGGAGGGGCCTCTGGAAAATAAATATTTTTAGATAGTGCCACAAGGGTGGTACCTACATGATGGGATTAGTGCCATTAGAAGAGAGAGAGCTTTCCTTTCCATGAACATGCACTGAGGAAAGTCCATGCGAGCACACAGCAAGAAGGTGACTGTCTACAAACCAAAAAAAGGACCCTCACCAACAACCTGACCATGTATCACCCTGATGTCAGACTTCTAGCCTCTGAAATAGTGAGAAAATAAATGTCTGTTGTTTAAGCCACCTAGTCTATGGTATTTTGTTATAGCAGCCTGAGCTGACTAAAATATACTTTGAGAATCAAGAGCACTTTACAAAAGTAGTCTATTTGAATTACTTTCTAATCAAACCTCATTTACTGAAATGTTTATAAAGGAAATAACCACCCATCTGCTATTATAGGAAAATAAGCAACTATTCTAGTTTCCCAAAAGATAAAATTAAAAAATCTGAGGAATAGGCAACATTCTTTTTTTTAAAAAAGATCATGCAATTTATTTTTACCTATTTTTTTTTTTTAGATTTTATTTATTTATTTGACAGAGAGAGAGAGTGGCAGACAGAGGGAGAGTGAGAAGCAGGCTCCCCACTGAGCAGGAAGCCCCTGACGTGGGGCTCGATCCCAGGACCCTGGGATAGTGACCTGAGCTGAAGGCAGATGCTTAACCAACTGAGTCAGGTGCCCCTATTTTTACCTAATTTAAAATATTCCCCTCAAATCTAAATAATCCAAGCATATCTAAAAGAAAATATTTTGTCATCTATCCAGACCATCTTAAAATAGTTGCTTGAGTTACTCTACTGAATAGAAACCAAGAGAGAGCATGTTTTCCCAGTCCTAAAATTATTTGGCTGTTACAATATTAAACAAAAAAAGCAAAAAGGAGTGTGAATAGCCTTTGGTCAAAAAAAAAAGCATATGATTTATCTCACCTCCCTCACAAAATTCCACTAAAATGAAAGCACTAGGGAAAAGAAAACTCAAATAGAAAGAATGTGAAGCTGGGAAAATAACACAATGGGGCTGAATTATGAATAAATGTAATCAGATGCCACTTGCTTTTCCCCTGGCCAGCAGAAGGATGGAAGTTACTCTCTGAGGAGGTGGAAGCAAAGGGGCTCTAGACTCTGACTCACTAGGAGTGGGTACCACAATGATGCACAAGGATTAAGTAAAAATATATACTCTGCACTCAATTCTGTTGCCCAGGGACCCACTGAGCTCTGGAACGCAGCAGCCAGTCTTACGATTCCTCTAGCAATAGATCAGAGAATTTCCTTCTGGGGAATGTGATCCTTCCAAGAACACTGATGTGCAGATTTTGACAGTCGTGGATTTCCCAATGAGTGGCCCAAACTAAAGAAGTTGAGAGTGGGCCAAACCTCAAACCTAAGGCATGCAGAGGTCCAAGACAGCCACACTGTATCCCAAGACAGCCACACTGTGTCTCACTTTGAAACACAAGCAGCTAAGTAGCAATTGACATAAGGGAAACCTCAAATATAGAAGTGACTATAACAAATAGGAAAAAAGAAACAACAGAAAACCAATATAAATCAAGTAGATGAAAATAGCCAGAGGTATAGAGAAGGATGTCCACCCTCACCACTTTTTTTCAACATAGTACCATAAGTCCTAGCCACAGCAATCAGACAAGAAAAAGAAGTAAAAGGCATCCAGATCAGTAAGGAAGAAGTAAAACTTTCACTATTTGCAGATGACCTGATACTCTATACTGAAAATCTGAAAGACTCCGCCAAAAAACTACTAGAACTGATACACAAATTCAGTAAAAGATACAAAATCAATGTACAGAAATCTGTTGCATTTCTATATACTTGTAATGAAGCAGCAGAAAGAGAAATTAAGAAAACTATCCCATTTAAAATTGCACCACAAATAAGATACCTAGGAAGAAACCTAACCAAAGAGGTGAAAGACCTGTACTCTGGAAACCATAAAACACTGAGGAAAGAATTTGAAGAGGACACAAAGAAATGGAAAGACATTTCATGCTCATGGATTGGAAAAACGAATATTGTTAAAATGTTTATACTCCCAATGCCTATCAAAATACAAACAGCATTTTTCACAGAACTAGAACAAACAATCCTAAAATTTGTATGGAACCACAAAAGACCCCAAATAACCAAAGCAATCTTGAAAAAGAAAAAGCTGGAGGCATCACAATTCTGGACTTCAAGTTATATTACAATGCTGTAGTAATCAAAACAGTATTGTACTGGCAGAAAATTAGACACACAGATCAATGAAACAAAATAGAAAACCCAGAAATAAACCCACAATTATATAGCCAGTTAATCTTCAATAAAGCAGGAAAGAATATCCAATGGGAAAAAGACAGTCTCTTCAACAAATAGTGTTGGGAAAACTGGGCCACTTTCTTATACCATACACAAAAATAAACTTGAAATGTATTAAAGACTTGAAACCATAAAAATCCTAGAAGAGAACACAGGCAGTAATTTCTCTGACATCATAGCAACTTTTTTCTAGATATGTCTCCTGAGGCAAAGGAAACACAAAAATAAACTATTGGGACTTTATCAAAATAGAAAGCTTTGGCACAGTGAAGGAAACAATCAACAAAACTAAAAGGCAACCTATGTGATGGGAGAAGATCAACAGCTTAACACCCCCAAACCAAATAACCCCATTAAAAAATGGGCAGAAGACATGAACAGACATTTCTCCAATGACAACATACAGGAAGCCAATAGGCGCATGAAAGATGCTCATCAGCACTTACCATCAGGGAAACAGCCCAAGTGTCCATTGATTGATGAATGGATAAACAAGATGTGGTATATGGATAGATAGATGATTGATAGATAGATAAAGAAGATGTGGTGGGTGTGTGTATATATATATATCTGCGATGTGGTATGTCTACGTATGTAGATGCAATGTGGTGTATATATATATGCAATGTGGTATATGTGTATATATATACACACACACACACACACACACACACAGATGTGTGTATATATATGTGTGTGTACATGCAAAGTGGTGTGTGTATATATATATATATACACACACACAATAGCCATTGCATGCAATGGAATATTATTCAGCCACAAAAAAAAAATGAAATCTTGCCATTTGCAACTACATGGGTGGACCTAGAGAGTATCATGCTAAGTGAAGTAAGCCTGTCAGAAAAAGACAAATACCATATGATTTCACTCCTATGTGGAATTTAAGAAACAAAACAAACTAGCATAGGGAAAAAAACAAACCAAGAAACAGGATCTTAACTACAGAGAACAAACTGATGGTCATCAGAGGGGAGGTGGGTGGGAGGATGAGTTAAGTAAGTGATGGGGATTAAGAAGTGCACTTGGCATGATGAGCACCAGGTAATGTGTGTAATTTTTGAATCACTATATTGTACACCTGAAAGTAATATAACAACTAACTGGAATTAAAATAAAAACAAAAAAATAAACCTCAGATACAACAAATTTTATCCATGAAATGTGCATGACAGTATAAGAAACATGCAGAAAATAAAAATAGCTCAAAGAATTTAAAATATGACAAATGTAGAACTCAATATGTCTAGAAAATTGAGAAAATCTTTGAAAATGGAATAAGGAACAGAAAATGAAAAAGATTTAAAAAAACGGCAAGCCAGAACCTCCACTATCTAATAGGAATTGAAAAAAGTAAAATGGAAGAGAATTATACAAGAAAATTCCCCAGGATTAAGAAGCATTCTATTTTTGATTGGAAGGACCTGGTTTGTCTCCAACACAATAAATGAAAAATAACAAGACTTTTCCAAGGCATAATTGCCTGAAATTCAGAACACTAAAGATAAAGAGAAGTTCTAGGAGTTTTCAGGAGAAAAAACAAAATGCAAATCAGGATAAAAGAGTGTAATGTCATTTAGATTTTTTAACAGTAATATCAGGTTTCTCAGCAGTAACAATAGAGACATCTCTGTTAAAATGTCCAGTCTTGAATACTTTATACAGCTAACTATAAATCAAATATGAGGGCAGAATAACGATAATTACAGACAAACCAGATCTCAAAATTTTTTTTAATCTTAATGCACACTTTCTCAGGAAAGTGATAGACAAATAAACCAAGAAAGAAGACATGGCTCCAGAAAACAGGGGATCGAGCACTAAGAGAGGTGAAGAGAATCGTTAGGTTCTCAGTGAAGGGACATCCCAGAGCAGTAGCTGCTGAGCTCCATGCCTGAAGAGCAAGATGTCTGAATAGGGAACATAGGGTAGAGCGCACAGTTGGCGGGGGGTGGGGTGGGGGGGGAATCTCTAGAAAAAAGTTGCAATTCACATGTTGCCTCATATGTTTGAAGGTATTTACAAGAAATTAACACTCCTGGAAGAGAATTTGAGAATATATTACTTAAACGTACATACCCCAAACTAAGTAAATCAAAACACGATGCCCTTATTAAATCCAAGAAAACATTTTATAAGAAAGAAACTGATGCCCTAGCACTCAACATGCCTCGGCAGGACTAAGCTACATGAAACAATAAGAATGTATTCTCTGCATACTGACTTAACAAAAAATTATAATTACATTGGGAAAGAGTGTGAATGTATATTTGTATGTCTATATAAATGCATCTGATTGCATTTGTACATGATTCCAGCTAATCCTGCTTTCCCAACTTCACACTCAGCAGTATCTGACAGTTTCTATGGATTTATGTTCTTTTGCTCTGTGTCATTTCAGTGGAGTCTGGTGAGGGACACTTCCTCTTGTGGTAGGAGAGGATTAAGACAACTAAAGTACATCTCCCGCAGTGTGAAGATAATACATAATAATGGAAACAGGTTGCTTAGAAATATGGGAGTAACTACAGAAAATAAAGGCAACATGCTGAATGTGGCTGCCTCCCACAAATGGGAATCAGGAGTAAGGAAGGGTAATAATGTGTATGGAAAAGTTGAGATAATAATTTCATTATAAATACTTATAGGAGGGAGATACTGAGAGCATTTCTTACTGGCAAAATAAGTTTCTTGAGAGCAATAACAATAATTTAAATCAATTCTTTCATTCTTTTTGCCTAGCACAGTATCTTAAAAATGTACATTCTTTGTTTTTAAAATGTACATTCTTGATAAATATTTTTTTAATGCTAGACCTCACAAAAATGCAGAATCTATGAGTACAGATGCTAAAAGAGGCACTCTTAAACTCTCCCTGGCTCCCACTCCAGAGAAAGGAAGGAAACAGAAGTCAAGTCTAAAGAGAAACCTCTTATTTCTTCAGTAAACTGATAATGCTATGAAAGGCTAAGAACTACAATAGGGCTCATGGCTGCTCTAAATATTTTTGATATGCAACTATGGTATCATTTAAAATTTTTTAAATTTAAATTCAATTTAATTAACATATACTGTATTATTATCTTCAGAGGTAGAATTTAGTGATTCAACAGTTGCATACAACACCCAGTGCTCCTTACTTCAAGTGCCCTCCTGAATGCCCATCACCCAATTACCCCATCCCCCCACCCACATCCCATCGTTTTTTTTTCTTATGCAGATTTGGAATATGAATATCTTGAATACTGTTCATTAATTAATACAACAAATACTTGTTAAGCAGGTACTATGCACCAAAATGGTTCTGGGAGCTGGAGATACAGTGCCCCTGCACTTCCAGGGTATATAATGTAGTACTAGAGAAGTAGTAATACAGGCCAGAAGTACTCTAGGGTAGTACTCTAACCACCACTACAATGTGAAGTTACTTTTGTTGCATACGTACATTATCACTGATGAACAACCACTTTTTGAGAAATCATTGGGACTGCTGCTCCATCTTCCCTCAAAAACTATTGGAAATCTCCCTAGCTAACCACAAGAGGGCCTCAATATCTGCCTGTTAAATTGAAGACATTGGATCAGTTGAAACCACACTTAACCACTTCCTTGAACTTTACAGTGCATACTATTACCAATAATATTTCTACCACATTATAGGTGCCCTGAACTATATCAAGCAAATTCAAAGTCTTTAGTAAGAAATGTTAGATCTCATTTTCTGATGACCTTCAGTGAATACCCTAAAAATGAGTTTCTACTCTTCATCTCTGTTACCTGCTTTATTTTTTATCCCTAATTCTTACTAACTTCTGACTACTTTGTTATATCTATTTGCTCATTTTCTTTCTCCTCCTTTAGAATGTAGACTCTATGAGGGCAGGTACCTGGAGCAATTCTTGGAACTCCATAAATATTTGCAAATGAATGGATGGCCCTGCCATAGGTGCAGGGATAGGGGGCAGAAGTTTCCTCCTATCATCCTTGCACTGTACACAAGTCAACGTACCTGTTATGATATTGTCCAGCAGCGTGATAGGCATACAAAATATGCCAACCAGTAAATCACTTATTGCCAGGTTCAAGATAAAGAGATTAGTGACTGTATGCATATGTTTGTTCCTCATTACAGTAAAGCAAACCACTGTATTTCCCACCATGCACAGGAAGAAGATCAGAAAGTAGGAAATAATGAAGACTGCTGCCACTTGAGGCTGGTGAAGATAGTAGTTCACATAGGTGATATTGATATCTGAGTATAGGTGATACTTTGTGTCATTGACACTCCAAATGTCATGCCAGTTTTCTGAAGCGTTTGAGTCCCATCTCTCACTCATGATGGACCTGAACAAAGGAGAGGTAGAAAAGAAAAAGCATAATTAGAAGCTGGTAGAACATAAGTTCTGTACCTGAGTTTAAAAAGAACACTTTTAAAATGCTAGGGGATTTTGATGGTCCTTCTATAATAATCCTTTAATTTTGCATGGAACAGAGTTATAAATAAAGCATTCAAATTATTAGGATTTTAACCAAAAGATTGAAATTTCCACTTTGTTTCATAAGTAACAATTAGTATTATTTTTTTATGTCCTCAATATGCTCTGTATTTCACTTTATTACACCTCCTATCCATTTGCAAAGTTTCAAAGGAAACTCTAAGTGAGACCTTTTAAAACTCCCTTTCTCCTGTCTCCAGGTATCATAACCTGTCAAAACCTACTTGTTCCTTTAAGGCTAACTTACAGGTTTTTAGCTTTCCTGGCAATTTAAACAAGATGATGTGTCTACATCTTCAAAACTGTCTTTGAAATAAGCTTCTCATAGATTCCTTATTCTGCTTTGAGTCAATTAATTGAATATTCTTTTTATATATGCATGGATAGCCACTATACTATGAATTTCTTAAAATAAGTCCACACTTGCCTTGGTTTCACTTTACATAATTCCATTCACATAGAATGTATTCAATAAATATTTTTATTTAGAATCTATATATCTTCACGTAGACATTTCAGTCAACCTTGTATGTCAGAGGTCCTCAAGAACATGCCCAGGTTTGGTGATTTACTGGAAGGATTCAGAGGACTTAGCATATAGTGTATTCACAGCTGATATTATAGCAAGAATTCTTCCAGTAAATCATTAAACCTGGGCATGACATATCAGATAAAGGGCTAGTATCTAAAATCTATAAAGAACTTATCCAACTCAACACCCAAAGAACAAATAATCCAATCAAGAAATGGGCAGAAGACATGAACAGACATTTTTCTAAAGAAGAC